GCCCCCCCCCCCACAGCCCGCTGGGCCCCTCCCCACAGGCTGTGCTCTTCCCTGCGCCCAGCGCGCAGGCGGCAGCCCCAAAGCCGGTGTCCGAGTCCCCCCCGGCTGGCACAATCTCGCACAGCCCGGGGTCGTGTAAGAGCCCTCACCTGCCCGCTGCCAACGTGCCGCTGCTGAAGATGCCGCCTCCGCTGTCGGGCTGCACTCATCCCTGCAACGGGCACTGCAGTACTTCGCTCATCCCTCCTCCTGCCTCCCACCAGCTGCCCAGCACGAACAGGTGAGTAGAGGAGCCCTGCCTGCTTCCAGCCTCTCTCCTCGCTGGGCGCCCTTTCTGCCACCCCTTTCCGCGGATGTGCTTTCCCCTGCGGAGGGACTGACTGCCCTGGCGTGGTGGTGCGGAGAGCTGCTGTGTTTGCGGGCCAGTTCCGCTGCTGCAGACCCCTGGTCTCTGAGGGTTGAGCTCTTTCTTTCCCCACATGTCTTCTCCCTGAGGTTGTCCTTTAGTACTGTGGTGCAGAAGAGACTGTGCTTGCTCCTCCTCCAGCTAAAAGACCCAAAGGAACCGTCCGGTCAACCTGCTGTTGGCCAACAGGACCTTTGTCAGTGAGACCCGTCGGGCAGCTGTGACACTGAGCAAAGGTCCTCGAGAAGATGAAGCCTGTGGACTTGTGGTTCTGCTCGCCGGCTCCCCTGGCCCTCTCTGGGCTGCCTGTGCCCTGGAAGAGAGCACGCTGAGTCGCGGGCGCTGGTTCCTCTCCGCTGATTAGCGCTCCCTGCGGAGGGCCAGCCGGGTCCCGAGCTGGAGCTTGAGGAATGGCGCTGTGGGCCATGCCCTGGCCTCCCTGTCTCTGAGCTGGGTGGTCTGTGCCTGTGGGAGCCGGGCCTGCCTGCACGTGGGGATGTCTGGCAGCTGCATGCAGTTCCAGCGTTTCTCACCTGTGCTACCTGCTGCCCCCAGTGAGTACCGCTCCCTGCCCTGGAATCAGCTTGTGGCCTGGCAGGGGGACACTGCTTTCTGGAGCTCTGGTGCGCCAGCCTCCTGCCTGCCAGAGGCCCTGGGGGGCGAGGAGCTACAGATGTCTTCTGCCGTGGGCTCCTCTAGCATCTCCCCCGGAGGAGGAGGATGCAGGGGAGGGGGTTTGTCTGCCCTGCAAATCCTTCTGCTCGGGCACAGGCTGCCCTGGGAGGGGTGTTCCTACACGTGTAGTGTGGGGCAATTTTTGAGACCTCCTGGCTTCCGCTCACCTCTTGCCCTTCTCCCCTTCTCCTCAGGGACCCCTCTTGCAAAGGGCACAAATTCCCAAACGGTACCAGCTGCCACCCGCCGCAGCCGTGCGAGGCAGACGAGGGACTTGGGGAGGACGAGGACAGCAGCTCGGAGCGCAGTTCCTGCACCTCCTCCTCCACCAACCAGAAAGACGGGAAGTTCTGCGACTGCTGCTACTGTGAGTTCTTCGGCCACAACGCGGTGAGTGAGGGGCTGGTCTGCAGCCACCCCCGGTCCTTGCGCTCCGCTCTGCGGTGAGACGTTACACAGTCTGTGCCGAGAGCACGGAGGTGGGCAGGTCTGGCCACGGCTGTTCCCTGCCGGCGTGTGCATCCCCCC